GATAAATTTAGTTTCGAATTTATATGGAAAGATTTTAATTTATGATTACATTTTGTGGCAAGTTCTCTGTTAGACATTTGTTTTTAATCAGTGAATATTAAAATGAAAGATGGAGTTTCATACTGAATAACACAGAGATAATACGAAAATATATGAGATATCATGTTCGAATCAATTTCCAAAGTATTTAATCTTTTTTTATTGTGCAATTTGTCTACATTAAAAAATTATTTAGATTCCGCTTCCACACTTTACACTTGTATGAAATTGTTTGAATAATTGATTTAAAAAAAAGAAAATTATACCTTTTATCTTCGATCTTTAGATTATTCAAAAGTAAATGACATTTTTGTTTGTTTCTTAATCCCATCATGAAAAATTTTGATATTCCCCCAGCTGGTAATTTCCTTTATATACATCGTTAAGTTTAGAAAGTAAGAACAAATGAAAACATCATAAAACATTTTTTAAAAAAATACAATTTCCAATTCAACTTTCATATTGAATTTTGAAAATATCACTTATTGTGTTATTCTAAAAATTTTACAACCTCTAACAGTAATTATGCCTTGGTTTACTTTATTTTTTTATTGTTAAGTGCGAAATATAATACAACTCTTTTGAGCAATAAAAATTCAATATTTATAAATCATACATTTTTAAAAATTTCCCCTACATTCATTGCTTACGATGCTAATTCATTAAAGCATTAAATTAAGTAAAAGTAAGTTCAAAAATTTCTGCAACTGTTTCAAAAATGAATTACCAATATTGTATTTAGGTTATTGTAAAAACTATTTTAAATAATTCTTTCAACATTGGTTGTTTTATAAATGTTGTAACTAAAATAGTACTATTTTATTTCGTCAAGTAGTTGTTGCATGGATTGAATGGGAATCCCACAAATTAAGTAAACTTACTTAGAGCACTGATAAGAACAAGACAAGATTGATAAAAAATGAATGTAATAATTCGATTAATTGATAAAAGCACAATAGGCTTTCGAAAACTCAAGTGGAGGTTAGATTGCTATAGAAAGGATTGGAACCAATGAAAAATTAATTTTTTGAAACAAATTTATGACATACTCGAGTTACTTTATTTAAAATGAGCTAAAGAAGCATGCAAACTACTCGTAATTTACATGCACAAAAGAATGTAAAATGAGTTAAATGAAAAAACCGAATTTCTAATCTTAAACTATATGGGAAAACTATCTCTATTGTAAAATGATTAAATTACACAACTGCATTTTCTTTGAATAAATTAATGGTATAACGAAAACAATGATTTTAAATTATGTTTATCGATTAAAAAGATTTATTTAACTTGTATTTAAAACAAAAAGGATATGAAATATTTTTTCTTACTTATAATGAATTTTTTCAAATAAATAATTTTTGCTGAAAATTAATTATATTTTGAATTTATTTAGGCTAGGTCTGTGAAGTTTAAAAAGTTCTCTTCGAACTCGATATTGATCTACAGTAGTGACTGAGGATTATTTTTAACGTAACATATTTATGCTTGTTAGAAAAGCATGTAGGGTTTCTTTTGAATTGTTCTGTTTACGTTTATTCTGGGAATAAGAAAATATAAATACTTGACAAAAATATTGCTAACACAATCAAAAGAGGTTTTTATAATACTACTGACACATATTCGAAGGAGGCTTTTATAATAATATTGAAACATATTCAAATGAGGTTTTTCTGTTAAGAAGAAAAATAAACGTAATATTACATTATCAGGTCAGACGGTTTCGATTTTCTAACAAGGTGAGTATAAACAGCGTCTATAAAAACACTAAAATTCCTTTAACAAAGAAAAAAATCCCTTGGCAACTGCAATTAGGAAAATGAAAGTTGAAATTAAAATTCTCACAGTAATATTTAATGTTCCTTCAAACATAAAAGAGTCCTACATAAAATTTTGATAAAGTTGCGGCCCGCCATCTCACTGGTGTTTTTAATTGCTGCCCGCGGCCTCATGTAAGTTGGAAACCCCTGTTTTTGAACAATTAGCAATCTCGAATTAGCATTCTTTTTATTCAAGTTCTTTAAATAATTGTTTTAAGACAAAATTCTTGGTTAATTCCATTCGAATTTTAGGTTAATAAAAAGTTAGCAAACTAATTTTTATTTATTACCTCCTGTCACTGTTAAAATTTAAAAAGTTAAATTGATTTGACAGTTATTTCCGTTTGCTTTACTATATATTGATCTGTACACAATACTTATGAATTCGTTGCTGTCATTTTTAAAAACCTCTTCTCTACCACACACGTCTTTCTAGATTCCCCAAAGCAATTACTTTTACTAGAACCACTGCCTTATCATCAGCAAAAGAACGTTATTTGTCAATATCGCCACAATGACAATTAGAATGCAAGGCGATAAGAATATGGTACCTTCCTAACAAAAATCAGCTTCTGAGGATGTTCTTTTCATTAGAAACTAGAAAAGAAGACCACTCTGTTGTCTGATAACAATTGCAAATTGCAAAGCATCAATCATGTAAAAAGGATTTACAGCAAGTACTGAAACTGTGGGCAATATGCTTTGTATATGAAGAGTAATAAGATGTCATATTCTATCAGGAAAACTTGAGTACCATAGTAGAAGAGAAATGTTCTATTTAGAACTAACGAAACATTTATACCCTTAATTGTGGGTGGTATTTCCGGAAAAGCGAAATATTGGATAAAGTTTTTTAAAAAAAGATAATAACATATGTTTCTACTTGAAAATACTAAATATAATTAGTTATTTCTCGTACCTAACTAATATTTCACTTTCGTCCGAAAAAAAATACAAATAGAGAGATGTGTTGAAGTTATAGACAATAGCAAAAAACAATGCGTATCTTATAATATCGATTGTTATAAAATGCATAAATGTTTTATTTTGCGACAAGAAATAAGTAAAAGTAATAATACCGAAATATAATTCGCGTTGTTAATTAATTGCGTTCATACTTCATTATGTTTGTTACAAAATACATCAAAATTATGTTGTGAGACAATTAAAGAGATGGGTAAAAGTTTTATTTTATTACCAGTTACCAATTTTATTACTAGTTATATATTGTTATTATTACTTTTTATTTTTTTAATCTTAAGCCAGGACTGGGGCCATAACGGCCACGAGTCCTCTGGTAATAAAATAAAAAGTTGTTTTGTTATAAAGGATGTCGAGAAAACAGTTCAAAAAAGAAAGCGCAGGGCAGCTTTTGTCAAATGAATTAAATCTATAAAAGATAGTAAAGGATACAAGGTGAAGATGGAAAAATATTAAAAAGCAATAGCACCAAATAATTCGAGACTTATAGTTTTGTGCTATATTTGATTTTTATAAACTGCATCAAAATTCGATTTTGTGATGATTGAAGAAAAAAGTAACATTAATAAGCAGTAGTAACATCAATAAAACAAATGCAACAAGAAAAGATGTTTTATTCTTCTATTTTTTATTGTTCTTTATCTCTATCTCATTAACTTAAAGCAGTGGTGTTAAATGTTAGGGTCAAGTTTTCATGAAAAAGAATAATAAACTATTATTAATAATAATTCAAACACAAAATCTACAATACTACAGCAGCCATACTTTTAATGGCTTTCTGAAATACTAGTTGGTTTCTAATAGTATTATTATACTATTATTACGAAAACATTATTATCAGCAATATAAATGTTTGAATCGACTGTGATTTTTGTTATGTTGATGTTTTATTTATTCATGTTGCAAACGAAAATTGAAAAAAAAAATTTTTTTTATCAATTTTAAAGTATTCATAGAAAAGAACTTGCAAAATTTTTAGCTATCATTAGCATTTTTCTTTGTTGAAAATTTTTTGATAATTTGTATTTAAAAAAACGCTGAAAACTCATTAGAATGCATTATTTTTTTATTCATACTAATTGAAAAAACTAGTTTATTAATGCACATAGAAATTACTAAGCATTCATTTTTTTTAATTTCCAGACTCTGAAAACAAATAAGTGTATATTATTTCTGTCCGACCTGATGCTTCCAAGTATTCTCTCATATAAAAAATTTCTCTTCAATAGCAATACTAATAAGATCGAATTTTTTTTAAATTTTTTATAAAGAGAATAAATTTTATCTTTTCTAATTTTAGAGAAATGCGCTGAAAATTTATGTAAATTTATTATTTTCATTTACTTAAAAAATTATCGACTACTTTTATTCCTGAGTTATATACTTTGAATTCGATTAATAATAATGAGGTCAAACTTAGTTAAAAGTTTCATCTTTGTCTTACTTTAAGTAAATGATTAAAGAAATAAAAGTTTTTTGTCTGTTCAAAATTTAACTCTAGTAGTAAAAATATAATTTTGACAGGCTTTGGCTTATCTGCCAATTTTAAAAAAATAATAATAACTTTTGTTTCTTTTTATTAATATCATTTAATGTTGCACAAAGGTTTAGATCAATTTTAATGAAGCTTATCACTTTTCCTTATCATAAATTTCATTTAAAAAATGAAATAATAATTTTTTTTGCTCTTTTTTTTTAAATTTTCTTTCAATTTTTTAAGCTTAAATATTAATTTTTAAAAAGTAAAGATATCATGAAAAGTACAGCTAATGTTTAAAGATAAATAAATAAACCTGCATTATACGGGAAAAAAATTACGTTTTCAAAATTTCTTAAGATAACAATTATAGTTTTTCAAATTTATGGCATATTAAAAATTTCTGATTCAATTACTCCTCAAAATGCATAATTAATTGTATTTAAAACCTGAAGAATAAGATTAATATGTAATAATTTATCACAACCATTAAAGCTCACAGTAAGTAGGGGAAAAAAATTCTTATCATTTAAAAGGCGCGTTTAAAAATTGCGCGAAAGGAGTAGGTCTAACTTTTTATTTTCATTATTAGTACTTATTATCTTTGGTGTTGTTTTCCCTCCTGTTTCATTTCATTTCACATCATTAGACAGGCGAACGAGGATCTCCGCCTCAAAACTTTACAAAAGTTTACCATTTGTCATATTTATCATTAGTTTCTTGCGCCAAATTTTCCTCTTTTTACAAAAGAGAACTTGAAGCTTGGCGTGATTCAAAACTTTTGGCGTGAAATCAATCGACTAACAACCTAGCAACCCTCTCCGAAAGTTTGTGCGCCTAAAAACTTATTTGGCGCGGTTGTTCTCTCCTCAGCTGGAAAGTTCTCAATAGATTTGACGCTGGTTCGAATATCGTCCGCGATAATTTTGGTATGTGCATAACAGTTTCTTCGGCTTACTCAGAAATTATTTAAAAATAGGTATATTCTTGTGACTGAATTAATTTTTCAACAGTCAACTCCAAAGGAATAATATTTCTATTAAATGAAAACCGATGTTTTTTTTACCCTATGAATAATTATTTTTTCAGCCCCAAATTGATGTTAGGCATAATACCCTAATACAACTAAAAAATATTTTTTATAAATATATATTTACTATATTTTTCTTTAATTCTTTGTTATTCTAAAGGCTAAAATACTTGTACTTCTTCTAAAAATATAAAAGTATGCATAAGATATATTTATTATTTTTTAATATTTATTTGTTTATACGATCACATACTAACGCGTATCTGATATTTTTATTTTTTCTTTAGTTATATATTTGATCCTTACCTCAACAACAGCTTGTACATTCTCTACATTGACTTCAAATATGTCAATGAAGAGGTAAATATGTAAAAAAAATTCTTTAATTATGTTTTAAATAATTTTTTTCCTTAACCCTTGTTGCTGATCGTTCTTTGGTTTGTTATATTTATTAGCCATTCAAGAGATCGTTCTAAAATCCAGCCTGCAATTTTATCTCGCAAAAGAAAAGCAGAAAAAGAAATAATGGTGAGTTATTAGCATTATTTATCAATTTATAATTTGTTAAATAATAGAATTCCACCACATCCTGTGGGATCGAATTTTCAATGCAACTCGCTATATGCCTTACTATTTCTGTATGAAATTTCCTTTAGAACTTTTAAGTTAAATGAAATATGTAATATATATTTAGTTCTGCATTATTTCTAATAATAATATTAGCTAAACATGTACATACAGTACGTTTTTTATCTTAGTGCTATATCTGTTTGCGCGGCAAGTATTCCCGCCATATTAGATACAACACCGGTATACCTCCCTAGACCGGGCTACGTGTGAAATTTTTGCGCGCTCTAAATTCCTTGGAATTTTTTGCCGGTATTTATTTTTCTTCCAATGTAATTTTAATTCATTTAAATTTTATTAATTTTGGTAAATTTTGATTATCAATGCAAATTCAATTTTTATTTAGTTGATGTGATTTTATTTACATCGATTTATTTGGTATATTAAACTCTCATTAATGAAAATTTGCGTAAATATAACAATATTATTTTTGAGTGTTTGGCATAAATTTAATAAATTTAAATTAATTTCATGTTTTTATTTATTATTTTTTTTATTTAATTTTTACATATGTTTTTACCGCTAAAGCTTGCTTGTTTTTTTTTTATTTTTAAGCTGTAATATGTAACGCTTAAACAATGAGTTGTAAATCCGACGTTATATCATTTCAAAATAATTCATTTAATTTTCAATTCAAACCTTACTTTGCTTTGAAATTGAATCATATATTTTTTTATTGCATTAAATATTTGTGTTAGGTTTTTTTTCTCCTTTTTGTATAATTTTTATTACTGCTTAGGTTTTTTTTCTCCTTTTTGTATAATTTTTATTGCTGCTCTCTTAAAATTTTTTAACATTTATAATTATGTAACATTTCACTTCAGAATACGTTTATAATCGTGTTAATATAAAATTGAACTTGTAAGAAATTTTAATGCATCCAAAAATTAATCTAGGCTACACTAAAGAACAAAATTATTGGAAAACATAAATCCCAATAACTACTTTAAAAAAGGTGTTTTAAAGGAATTCTTTTAGCTATATCTTAAAATTTATGTTTAAGTAGTGTATTTATTCACATTTTAATAGTATATTTGCAATTTAAATATATATCCTAATTGAATGGTATTTTTTTGAACCTTTATTAAATTAAATATTTATTTTTAGAAATATTCTATTGTTTATTTCAATTTTAAACTTATGATATGATTTTTTAGTATTTATTGGTAATACTAAAAAATCATAAGGTTTTTAGTTGGTTTTTAAAAAATATTAATGTATTCAAAATTAAAATATACTTTGTTATAATGTGAGAAATTTGTCCAGATAAATGAGATTAGAATAAAAAGCTGATCATCAAACTATCCTTTATTAGATGTTTAAAGATTGAACAGCTGAGCAACTATTTTGAAACTGTACTGTTTTGCATGCGTACTGAGAAATAATATTAAAAAAAAATTTCAGTACATTTATTTGTATCATATTATGCTACTGAAAAACTTTGTCTATTACATCTTGTATTTGACTTAGCTTGTTTAAAAGATTCGAACTATGATTTAAAAAATAGACTGGTAAAATAGAATTCTTAAATACATTTTACAATGCATCAAAAAGGTATAAACAATTAAAGAATTCAATTTAATTGAAAACTGAGACATGTGAGTGGTAAGTGAATAAGACATTTTGAGACTTAATGGGTAAAGTTTCTTTAAAAATGTGTGAAAGTATTTTGCTTGCATCAACAAAAAATAAAGCATTAATTTTTGCAACTTGAGATATTTTTTAACATCATGTTATGGTACAATAATAACAGGATATTTATAGTTTTTCAAGATAGTCATAATGTATGTTAAATAAAGAGATCTTATGATTTACTAGCAATGAGAGATGTTTTCTTTATTAATGAAACCGGTCTTAAATTAAGCACAATAAATTTTAAAGAAAAGTTACTAGCTTTTCCTGNTTAAATTTTAAAAGCATTACAGCTTTTGAGAAAAGGAAAACTGTACTCTGGTACAATTAAAAAGGAGGGGGGGGGGAAATGTGAATCCTTTTAAAGCAGTCCCCTGTGTGCTTTATGGGAATTCATTGTGTTACCCTTTCTTTTCAGGTGTTAATAATTCTGCTTTTTGATACTTTTTGGTTAACCACAAAGTATCAAAGCAGAAGGTTGCCAAAAAAATGTAGACCTCCGTCAATTTATTATTCTATTTTTTTATAATTAATTTATTTATTTGAATATGCAAATTTTTAAATTGAGAAAATATATTTTAATTTCTTCGTGTTCGGCTAACTGAAAGATCTGCCTTTAAAAAAATTAAAAAATTCTCAATAACTGATTGATCTTTCAAAAAAACTGACTTACTTTGTAAATTCTGGATGAGAAAGTAATAAATATATAGTTAATAACTTAAAGGTTTTAGTTCTATTTTTAAATAGTATAGATTAAGAGTGTACAACCTTTTTGATTGAAATATTTGGACATGTTGTGGGCAATTATGGTAATTTTTCTATCAACATCAGTGTTCTAAGCACTAAATCCTTTTTATCAGTCAACTTACTAATGTACTTGCATGCAATTAAAGGCTTTTAGTTATTAAAATTCATTCAAAGCTAAAAAAAATGTCAACCTGATGATTAAATATATATATATATATTTCCTTTTTGACAAATAGATTTATCGAAAATCAGATGAAAAGTAGTTTTTATCACGTAATATTATTCAAAAATTAATTTTAAAATAAATTAACTGTAATGGTATTAAATATTTTATTCAGCAATATAAATTCAAATGAAATATTTTAATTAAAGTATTTTATATGCTCTAAAAGGATTCAACATAAAACAAATGCATTTTAACTTATAATAAGATTTTGAATATAGTTGGGAATAGGTTTTCAAATTTAGAATATTTACATTTAGTTAATTATAAAAGGTTTAATGAATGTTGCATCTTAGAACGGTAAATTATCAAACTTTCTAATTATTTTAAACTGTGGGTAAAACTTATTATTCCATTTTTTTTGAAATTTTAAATATTATAATACTGTATTGAAATATTTGTTCTTTAATATATGAAAACAAGTTGCAACAACTGCCCAAAAAAAGGGATCGCAAAAGAAATTGGATTGACAATAAAATCAGCACAAACAAAGTGATTAAAATTAAGCCACTTAATAATTAAAGCCACGAAAAAGTCAAACTTTATCTTTGGACTGCACTGTTGGGTAGAATGAAATTATTTTTTTTTTTCTTGTGCTCAACCATTTGGTATGATAGAAAAATTTTCCAAATGCAGAAACACTGGTGGGTTAATTATGTATTTATGAAAATTTAGTTTAGAGGCATAGAAATAGAGCTGTTAATCAAAAGCAGGTCCTAACTTTAGAATTGTTGAAATTTCATTGTAGATTACTACTGCTTCCCAAATTATGTCACTGATGAAATTGTATTAAGAGTAATATATAAATTTTCCATTATGAAATAATTTTTTCTAAACTATACTCGGATATATACACTAACGCTGTGCGGGGAGAGGGTTTTAACATTTACAGAGTTCTCGGTAGGAATAAAAAAGAGCAGGGTGTTTCCTCACAGAAAAGGGCACTCACTTAACACTGTTAAAGTTTTTCGAACTGTAATATTGTGTAATAACTGAATTTGAACCTCAATTTTTCAATTCTCCTCTTATACTATTTTAAGTATATGTTACACCAAGTAATTCTCACTCATTATCACAATAACAGAAAAATTTGAAGCTTTTGAAAAATAATTAAAGGAAAAGCATAGTCTCAAGCTGTAAACAATCTCTGTGTATTGATTTTTAAATAAAATGTATTTATTTAAAAAAATTAATGGTAAAATTTAAAATCATTAGCACTCATTGCCCCATATAAAAGATGTGAATATCTCTGTGGCCGAATATCATGCGAATTTTTAATATTTAACTAGACAACATTAGAAAAATCTTACAAAAGTGAAGGAATGAAATTAAATTTAAATAATTATCAGTAACTAAATAAATCAGAAGTGAACTTTTCATTAAAACAAGTGGTTAAGAAAACCTTTTCCTAAAAAAATTAAAAAGCATTATTTTTAATGGATGGCTTATTTTTACATATAGAGCAAGAGAGTGCGCATTGATATGGATCAAAGGGCAGATGGCCCTTCTAAAAACACTTGGAGAGAACACTGATCATTCATAAGAAACAAAAATTAGTAAAGTTCTCCTATTTTTCTCCTTTGTCAATATTTTTAAGCTCACTTGTAGTTTTTTGTGAAATTTTTTTAAAATTAATCCTTATAGGAGAATAAAAGAAAAAGTCAATGCAACAATCCTGACCCATAGGACAATTTAAAATTTTTTTTCACTGTTTCATGCAGTCTCGCAATTACCGCATTGCATTTGACTTTCAGACATATAATAATTAATATAGAATTTTATAAAATTGAAACATTTTTAAAAAATTCACGATTTTCAGATTTTTTTCTTAGGAGGCAACAAAAGTTTTTTTTAAATTTATTTATTAATTTGTGTTTTTGAATATTCTTGAACTAATTTGCAAAAAAATGCATGTTTTAGAATGTTTCCTTCTTGCATCATTAATAACATAGCTACACATGTTATCACTTATCAATTGGTTCAGCCATTTATCTTATTATTGCAAAGAGGGATCTTTGAACAAAATTTCTGTCCTTTTATGGAAAGCCTTTCCTTTATCAAATTTTAATTGTTAAAATGGCATTAAAAGTGTATTCTAAAATATGTAATCAAATTTTTGTCTCTTAAAAAATCGTAACCAGTTCTTAAAATGTTAATAACCTAAAAAATTTAAAATGCAAAAAAAAAATTACTAAAAGCAATAAAGAAATTATCTTATAAAAAAAAAATGTATTGAAAAATTTTCAGAATTATATTTATATTAGTTTTTTATTTTTGAAAATAGTTATAAATTATAACTTGTTTTTATAAATTTTGTGAAAAATGAGAAGATAATTAAAAAGAACCTGTAATTTATGGAGAAAATGGAATGTTAATGAATACCTGAAAAAGATTGCATTTTCAAAAAGCGAATTTTTTGTATCTTGAAAAACTTTACAACATCAGCTATTGTTATTGCGGAGAGGTATACAGATATATAAAATAACAAGATTCACTGTAAAATTTAAAGTAATTTATAAAGGAAAGAAATTGATTTACAAATAAGGTACTTAAAAAGAGAAGTTTTTCAAAATTCATGTTTGGAAGAAAGGTGAAAAAGAACTAAAAAGGGAAAAAAATGACCTAAAAGACAAAAAAAGATGAATAATGCCTTATAAGGGAAAACATCAAATATGCCAAAAATTCATTTATCATTCAAATCTTGGTAATAACCATATTTTTAATTTTGTCCTTAAAAAAAGAATACACTTTTTAAAATTAATAGTATAGTATAAAGAAATGTAATAGTACAGTAGGGAACCGATTATCCGGAACGATCGGGACCATCGCTATTCCGGGTAACTGATTCTTCCCGAATTGCTGCAAAAAGCCGTTTTTTTTATAGTGAAATCCGACTAAAAAAAATAAAATATTTGGAAATAGTCTTAAAAAGAAGAAAAAACGATGTAATACATTAATGATTATTTCCAAAATGATGGTAAGGTAAACATCTTTCAAAAAAGAAAGAAAAATCCTAAAATCTTGTAAGGAAAAAAAATTTTTTTTTTAAAGTGGCGGGAAAATTTATCGAATTTCGTTCCGTTTTTTTTGGTCTTCCGGTTTTCTGATTTCCGGATAACAGGTTCTGTACTGTTATATGTTTCGGACTTCCTGAATCCTTTGTCATCTGTTGGCCAAAGTAGCTTAGTCTTATGTTATGGTTACTTTAAATTAATTATGTTACTGAGCTAATAAGTTAAATTATCAGTAAATTATTCTCTCAGAGAATAACATACAGTAAATTTAAAAACAATATTATGCAATATTTTAAGTTTCAAAAGAATGTTAATCTTGTTGTAGATTATATTTTCGCAGTGTTTTTTTTCCCTCTGAACAATCAGTAATTATTATTATTAATTTATTTTAGATCACATCTCCTTCATCTGAATTCTCATCACCTTCCTCCAGCATTGCGACTAGCAGTTGCGAAAACACACCCACAACTGACACAGAAGCTTCTGCAGATGAAACTGCATGCAGCAGAAGATTGTCTCCCTCTGCTCTGAAGGAATTCAGGGGCTTAGCTAAACTAATGCATCCTTTCTCAAATGCATGCAAGCGATCTTCACCTTTGCCAGAACTTGACTGGGCTGAACAGAAAGAAATGTGGCATTCTATGGTTTTGAAAGATTCTATTTATACAAGAAATAGCAAAGTCCTGAAAAGGCATCCAGATTTAGAACCTCGCATGCGGTCGATTTTAATTGACTGGTTGTCTGAGGTAATTATTTCTACCAATAAATGTCTTTCTTATTTATTCTCTGATCAGGGTCTGTTAAGGATAATCGCAACCACATATTGTTTTACATAGAAGTTGGTTACTTCACAAATTAATTATTCATAAATACTTTATCCTTTACAAAATACTTTATCTTGAAAAGAGATCCCTTACCAAATTTTTCAGTTCGAAACTGGATTCTTTTCAAAAAGGCATTGAAGACTTTTTTTTTTTTCTTTCTTTCTTCAGAGAAGCAAGATTTTTTTTTTTCCCAATGCTCTGAGAAAAAGAACTTGATTCTAAGCTAATTTTAGATTAAAAAAATTATAAAGATTTTTCACAAATTAAAATCTTACACAAAAAATCAAATAATCATTCTAATTTTGGCCAATAGTATCAATTAGTAATTAAAAATTTTGTTACAAACATAATTTAATTTTTACTAAACAAAATTTCTATTACAGTTAAAAGTATATTAAGTAAAGATTTGAAAAATTGTTTAAAATATTAAATCAGAGCTGGATCAAGATAAGAAGTTTGTCTAGAAATTTATCATCATGTTAGAGTTGTTATTTTACTATCATTGTTTATAATAGCTGTTAAATCTAAAAATATAACTTTTTTATTAAAGCACGATTTAATTGTTTCCTTTTAGGTTTGTGAAGTTTTCAGAATTCACAGAGAAACATTTCACCTGGCTATTGATTATGTTGATAGGTTTTTAATGGCTAAATCAAATTTACCAAGAAATTATCTTCAGTTGCTGGGCGCAACGGCATTATTTGTAGCATCTAAAATGGAGGTTCGTAATTTTTCATGCCCGTTGAATTTTTTTCACTAACCGTTTGTTTTTTATTCAAAATTTGTTATTTAATTGTAGGAGATTTATCCAGCTAAACTAGAGCAGTTTGCTTATGTTACCGATGGCGCATGTGCAGATACTGATATTCTAAATCAAGAGCTCATCTTGATTATGGTAAGTCCGACTTTTTTTCTTTTTCAGATGAAAATGTGTAACTTTTTATCGGCCGGCGATCAAAATACTATAATTATTGGTGACTCGGGATAGAGCGTTCGCCTTCCAATTAGGTGAACCTGGTTTGGATACCTGCGGTTTCTGGTGTATATGAATTCCGCACCCTGCTTGCACCGACAAAAGAGCTAAAGTGAAATATCCTCAGTGGTGGACGGATCATGGGTTAGAGTCCCCTTGCCGTCAGGCTAACCGTGGGAGGTTCTTGTGGTCTTCCTCTCCATATAATGCAGATGCGGGTTAGTTCTATTAAAAAGTCCTCCCAAATTTCACCCAATACTTGATCNGATCAAAGGGCAGATGAAATTAAAAAATTCTCAATAACTGATTGATCTTTCAAAAAAACTGACTTACTTTGTAAATTCTGGATGAGAAAGTAATAAATATATAGTTAATAAATTAAAGGTTTTAGTTCTATTTCTAAATAGTATAGATTAAGAGTGTACAACCTTTTTGATTGAAATATTTGGACAGTTTTGGGCAATTATGGTAATTTTTCTATCAACATCAGTGTTCTAAGCACTAAATCCTTTTTATCAGTCAACTTAGTTATGTATTTGCATGCAATTAAAGGCTTTTAGTTATTGAAATTCATTTGAAACTAAAAAATGCCAAACTGATGTTTAAATATATATTCCTTATCAGACAAATAGATTTGTCGAAAATATATAGACAGATGAAAAATAATTTTTATCATGTAACATTATTCAAAAATTAATTTTAAAATAAATTTACTGTAATGGTCATAGGATAAAAGTAAAAATTAAATGTTTTATTCAGCAATATAAATTCGAATTAAATATTTTAATTAAAATTTTATATACCCTGAAATGATTCAACATAAAACAAATATATTTTAACTTAAAATAAGATTTTTAATATAGTTGGGAATGGGTTTTCAAATTTAGAACATTTTACTTTGTTAATTATAAAAGGTTTAATGAATGTTACATCTTAGAACAGTAAATTATCACATTTTCAAATTATTTTAAACTGTATGCATCTAAGAACTAAAGTATTGCTCCACTTTTTTTTAATAATTTTAAATATTATAATTCTGTATTGAAATATTTGTTCTTTAATACATGAAAACAAGTTGCAGCAACTGTCCGAAGAACGGATCGCAAAAGAGATTGGATTGACAATAAAATCAGCACCAACGAAGCATGTCAAAAGTTATTATTAAAATGCACATTTTGTATAAAATATCAGATTAAAAATATTGGGATTATTAAAACCACTGAATAATAGCTGCAGAAAATATAATAAAAATGTACTTCAGATTTGTGATAAATTTAGAGTTGTGATAATATGTATAAAAAATATTAGTATTTTCAGGAGCATAGCAATAACTATCAAAAAAGAACACCTAGATTTGCAATGAAATCAGTGAAAATAAAGTGTGTATTTATTTGAGTCATTATGATATGTATTAAAAATATCCAGATTTTTAAAACCACTTGAAAATGTAGCAGTTGCTACTGAATTAAAAGTAACTAAACAAGTAACTTGAAATGACAATAAAATTGGCGCAAATAAAAGTCATCATTAAAATACATGATTTGAAACTTAAGAGCTGTATTAATATCGTATTTAAAATACCAAGATCGTTTTTGAAAAGAAAAAAAAAACACAGGGAAATCCAACAATAACTGATGAAAACACGATAAAGAGTCAATTAGATTAATACGTCAACAGTTTTTTTCTTCCAAGTTTTTTTTTTTTCTTTTCCAAAAGTTTTTTTAAAATTTTTCCCTATTATATTTAGGTGGTAGCCAAGTTTGACAGGTTGTGCACCCCTAGCTAGATGTTGTTATACTTAAATTTATTAAATTCATTTATGAATTTACTATTAATTATTGTCAGCAATTTTAAAACTTAATGAAGTTTTGAAACCTACTAAATTAAAGTTCTAAATAAAATAAAGCCTATAAAAATATTTCATGCTTCTGATTTGGTAATCACAGAACTAAAAATTAATATCAGAATGTGAAAATATATGTTTTCTTAAAATAGCTTAATTATCTTTTTACAAATTTCTTATATCTTTATATCTACTTAACCCACTGGCAAATATAAAGTTTCTCTTTTCACTGCTTCAAAATGTTCACAATTTTCTTTACAACTTAATTTAGGCTGATTCTCTTTTATCAATTAGAAAATCTTGGTGTGAAAAATAATTTTCCTATCTAATTTTAGATGGGTTGATGTTTAGGCACAAAAAAGTCAAACTTTATTTTTGGACAGGACTGTTTGTAGGGGTAGAATAAAATGATTTTTTTTTTTTTTTTGTGCTCAAACATTTGGTATGATAAAAAAAAATTTATACATGCAGAAACACTGGTGGGTTAATCTTATATTTATGAAAATTTAATTTAAAGGCATAGAAATAAAGCTGTTAATCAAAAGCAGGTCCTAATCTTAGAATTGTTGAAATTTCCTCGTAGATTACTGCTTCCCAAGTTATGTCACTGATGAAATCATATTAAGAGTAATATATAAATTTTCCCTTATAAAATAATTTTTTCTAAACCATACTCGGATATATACACTAACGCTGTGCGGGGAAATGTTTTTAGCATCATTTAGGAATAAATCTCTCTGTAGGAATAAATAAAGAGCAGGGTGTTTCCTCACAGAAAAGGGCACTCACTTACCACTGTTAAAGTTTATCAAACTGTAATATTGTGTAATAACGGATTTGAACCTCACTTTTTCAATTCTCCTCTTATACTATTTTAAGTGTATGTTACACCAAGTAATTTTCACTCATTATCAAAATAACAGAAAAAGCATAGTCTCAAGCTGTACGACAGTCTCTGTGTATAAGTTTTTAAATAAAAGGTATTTAAAAAGAAAATATTGTAATATTTAAAATCATTAACACTCATTTGTATATCTCTCCCCCCCCCCCTCCATCCAATTAAAAGATGTGAATATCTCTGGGTCTGAATATCATGCGATTTTTAAATCTATAACTAGACAACATTAAAAAAATTTTACAAAAATGAAGGAATGAAATTAAATTTGAATAATTATCAGTAACTAAATAAATCAGAAGTGAACTTTTTATTAAAACAAGTGGTTAAGGAAACCTTTTCCTGAAAAAAATAAAAAAGGAGTGTTTTTAAGGGATGTCTTATTTTTACATAAAGGACAAGGAGGGTGCAGTGATAGGGATCAAAGGGCAGAGGGCCCTTCTAAAAACACTTGAAGAGAACGCTGATAATTTATTAGAAAAAAAATATTAAAGTTCCCCTATTTTTCCTCTTGGTCATTATTTTTACGCATCTCTGAAAATTTTTAGTATTATTCCTTACAGAGAAGTCAGTGCAACAATCCTGACCCACAGGACAATTTCGCAGATTGATATGAAAATGTCTTTCACTGTTTCATGCAGTCCCACTATTACGGCATTGCATTTGATTTTCAGGCATGCTGATACGTATAACATAGAATTTTATAAAATTGAAACATTTTTAAAAAATTCACGATTTTTTGATTTTTTCATAGGTGGCAACAAAACTTTTTTTTTTATATAAATTATTTATTTTGGCGTTCTTGAAGTTTTTTGTGACTAATTTTCAAGAAATATGCATGTTTTAGAATGTTGCCTTCGTGCATCATTAATAACTTAGCTACACATGTGATCATGTTATCACTTATCAATTGGCTCAGCCATTTATCTTCTACAGGGATATTTGAACAAAATTTCAGTCCTTTCTTGACTAGCTTTTCCTTTATCAACTTTTAATTGTTAAAATAAAATGGTATTAAAAGTGTATTCTGAAATATGTAATCAAATTTTTGTCTCTAAATCGTAACCAGTTCTTAAAAAGTTAATAACCTAAAAAGTTTAAAATGCAAAAAAAAAAATACTGAAATCAATCAAAAAATTGAAATCAAAAATGTCTGAAATCAAAAACATCTTGAAAAATTTTCAGAATCATATTTAGATTAGTTTTTTATTTTTGAAAATAGTTATAAATTATAACTCGTTTTTATAAATTTTGTAAAAAATTGGAAGATAATTTAAAAGTATCTGTAATTTATGGAATGTTAATGAATACCTGAAAAAGATTGCATTTTCAAAAATCAAATTTTTTGTAACTTGAAAAACTTTTCAACATCAGCTATTGTTAGAGAGATATATAGAATAACAAGATTCACTGTAAAAGTAATTTATAAAGGAAAGAAATTGATTGATAAATAAGTGTACCTAAAAAAGAGATGTTTTTCAAAATTCATTAAAAAATGTTTGAAAGAAAGGTGAAAAAGAACTAAAAAGGGAAAAAAATAGCCTAAAAGACAAAAAAGATGAGTAATGCCTTATAACGGAAAACATCAAATATGCCAAAAATACATTTATCATTCAAATCTTGGTGATAATCATATTTTTAATTTTGTCATTAAAAAATACTTTTAAAAAAATTAATAGTATAGTATAAAGAAATGTAATAGTAGTATGTTTTAGACTTCCTAAATCCTTTGTAAACCGCTGAGACAACAATCCTTTGTCAAAGTTACTTTAAATAAATTCAAAAGTTCAACACATTATGATTTGTTAAATTAATGATGTTTACGAACTACAAGTTTAATTATCAGTAAATTACTCTCTAAGAGAATAACATATAGTAAATTTAAAAACAATACTATGCAATACTTTAAGTTTCAAAAGAATGTTTATATTGTTGTAGATTATATTTTAGCAATGTTTTTTTTTTCTTCTGAAACCAATCAGTACTTATTATTAATTTATTTTAGATCACATCTCCTTCATCTGAATTCTCATCACCTTCCTCCAGCATTGCGACTAGCAGTTGCGAAAACACACCCACAACTGACACAGAAGCTTCTGCAGATGAAACTGCATGCAGCAGAAGATTGTCTCCCTCTGCTCTGAAGGAATTCAGGGGCTTAGCTAAACTAATGCATCCTTTCTCAAATGCATGCAAGCGATCTTCACCTTTGCCAGAACTTGACTGGGCTGAACAGAAAGAAATGTGGCATTCTATGGTTTTGAAAGATTCTATTTATACAAGAAATAACAAAGTCCTGAAAAGGCATCCAGATTTAGAACCTCGCATGCGGTCGATTTTAATTGACTGGTTGTCTGAGGTAATTATTTCTACCAATAAATGTCTTTCTTATTTATTCTCTGATCAGGGTCTGTTAAGGATAATCGCAACCACATATTGTTTTACATAGAAGTTGGTTACTTCACAAATTAATTATTCATAAATACTTTATCCTTTACAAAATACTTTATCTTGAAAAGAGATCCCTTACCAAATTTTTCAGTTCGAAACTGGATTCTTTTCAAAAAGGCATTGAAGACTTTTTTTTTTTTCTTTCTTTCTTCAGAGAAGCAAGATTTTTTTTTTTCCCAATGCTCTGAGAAAAAGAACTTGATTCTAAGCTAATTTTAGATTAAAAAAATTATAAAGATTTTTCACAAATTAAAATCTTACACAAAAAATCAAATAATCATTCTAATTTTGGCCAATAGTATCAATTAGTAATTAAAAATTTAATTAGGAACATATTTTAATTTTTACTAAACAAAATTTCTATTATAGTTAAAAGTATATATTAAGTAAAGGTTTAAAAAATTGTTTAAAATATTAAATCAGAACTGGATCAAGATAAGAAGTTTGTCTAGAAATTTATCATCATGTTAGAGTTGTTATTTTACTATCATTGTTTATAATAGCTGTTAAATCTAAAAATATAACTTTTTTATTAAAGCACGATTTAATTGTTTCCTTTTAGGTTTGTGAAGTTTTCAGAATTCACAGAGAAACATTTCACCTGGCTATTGATTATGTTGATAGGTTTTTAATGGCTAAATCAAATTTACCAAGAAATTATCTTCAGTTGCTGGGCGCAACGGCATTATTTGTAGCATCTAAAATGGAGGTTAGTAATTTTTCATGCCCGTTGAATTTTTTTCACTAACCGTTTGTTTTTTATTCAAAATTTATTATTTAATTGTAGGAGATTTATCCAGCTAAACTAGAGCAGTTTGCTTATGTTACCGATGGCGCATGTGCAGATACTGATATTCTAAATCAAGAGCTCATCTTGATTATGGTAAGTCCGACTTTTTTTCTTTTTCAGATGAAAATGTGTAACTTTTTATCGGCTGGCGTTCAAAATACTATAATTATTGGTGACTCAGGGGATAGAGCGTTCGCCTTCCAATTAGGTGAACCTGGTTCGGATACCTGCGGTTTCTGATGTGTATGAATTCCGCACCCTGCTTACACCGTTTACCGTATTGTTTGGCGCAGCATGTCCTCATCTGGACCTTGCGCCACTAAACCCTACATTCAATTCAATTCCCTACTTGCACCGACAAAAGAGCTAAAGTGAAATATCCTCAGTGATGGACGGATCATGGGTTAGAGTCCCCTTGCCATCGGGCTTACCGTGGGAGGTTCTTGTGGTCTTCCTCTCCATGTAATGCAGATGCGGGTTAGTTCTATTAAAAAGTCCTCCTAAATTTCACCCAATACTTGATCCAAGAGTTCCTTTGTTTTCTGGATTGGATTCAAAATTACAAGGCTAGATAGTTGAACATCAGTAGTCACTATTATAAAATAAAATTATTCATGATCTAATATTCATAATTTTTTTCTGTCTTATGTTGTGTCAATAATTAAATGCCAATTCGAGTTTTTTTTTTTTTTTAGTTGAATGGTGTTGTCAGTGTAAAATCTGTGACCAGAAGCATAAAGCAAATAGCTTATAGCCTTTATTTACAATCGAAGTAACATCGGTTAATTAGATTTCCCTTAAATTGTAGATAAAACTGCTGAAATGAGTATCAAATTTGATTTTGAGTTAGATTGTGGTACAAATGTCTTTTAATGAGTTCAGCGCAGATTAGGCCTTCAACCATGGGTGTTATTTTTTAAATGTTGTTGTGTTTTATACTGTAAAAATCAATGAAAAATATAAATAGTATTGTAGTTCAGTGTTGATGGCTGTCTGGCTGGATTAGGATATCAAATTTTGTTTTGTGAAGATGGTACTACAATTAACTTAAAACTACAAGGTTTATCAAATTCATTCAACAAAATTTTCCTTAATTTAGTAACCTTATCATTGTGAAAAAAGTACAATCTGTACAATGTTTGAGATGAGAATTCATCTTATATTTTCAAAGTATGTATTAAAAAAAAATTTTTTTTTGCAGACACTTAACTGGAATTTGTCACCTGTCACCATGAATTGCTGGTTGAATATATTTATGCAATTGGCATTTTTAGAAAATGGAGAAAACTTAATAGGTCCTGAAAGATATCCTCGAAAATTGTTCTTACAAATCAGTCAAGTAAGTCTTTACTGTTAAAACCCTTTTTAATGCTTTTACTTACATAGTTTTTCAGAGGTATGGTTATTTTTGGAACACATTCGATGTGCTTTTGCACCCTGTGTTCAGCAATATTTTTTCTCTTCAATCACTTTTGGCATATTTTTATTAGTGATGCTTTCATCACATGATGATAAAAGAATAAAATACTCAAATAAGTTTCGAGATTCATTTGTTTTGTGGCCTTTTTTTTTTCACTGAAAGCATGCATTTCATAAATAACTGCAAATCTATAACAAATGTTAGCTCCCAGGCAACTTTTTCTTCATGTGGCTGCCTCTTTGATTCTGAAAACAGAATCAAATATTGTAAACCTAGGGAATTAAAAGTTCTCTTGAATTACGATTAATTTTTAGCCCAGCATAGTCACTTAACCCTAAAAAAAAACATTGGCGTAGGATTATACTGTTTAAATGTATAACAAGCAATGGCATCATTTGTAACTATGAACTATTTTACAGACATTTTTTTGCACAAAATTGCAGTTCTCCAAAGAAAGATAACGCATATCTATATAGAGTACAGTTTTGGATAATATATGGAATTGTAGGCACCAGTTTTTTTACTACTCTGCGTAAAATAGACAAAAATAAGAAAATCTCCATAAAATAAATTTATAAAAACTCACCTGAAGATTAAAGTATTCCACTTTCACAAATTTTTAAAAATCTTATTGATGGATGACACATCATTGATAAAACAGTCCAATAATGTTCAATGACGCGAAATAGACATAAATTCCTATTTAATTTCGAACTGTTTAAAAATCACTCCCTCCCTGTCCCCACAGCAGCCTAAGTACGCTAAAAAAAAATTATACGTATTTTCCTAATAAAACTTCTCACTCTTAATTCTACTTCTAATCATTGCTTGGATTGACAATAAATTGCTTCAAAAAATAACCGACATGCAGACTCCAATTAAACTTTGCTTCCATATCACTTTACAAAACTTAATTATGCCCTCTAAAACATTTATTCTGCAGAAAAAGTCACAAAATTCAACCCTAAAATCGAAATTTAATAATTACATTTCTGAAGAAAAAAATAATTGCTTATAAAAACGAAACACCAATAAATCATTTAATATGTCATTACTTTTCTCCCATCTGCACAAATAGAAAACAGTTATAATCATCATCACAACGTCAAATATTCAAATCCAATACAACCTCTACTCCCCCCCCCCCCAANCCCCCCCCAAAAAAAAAAAAAAATTTCTCCCATTTTTAACATATGTCCCATTATTCTATCAAAATCTCTGTGATAAATAAGTTATAATTCAAGCCAGATCATTATCAGCTATTGGGAAACTTGGCAGATAAATTGAGTATTATTTGCAGATGCACAACAAATTTTTGCCTTATTCTTTAATCGGTACCAATTTTAATATAGTTTTTTGTTCAAATATTTTCATCTGTAATATGGATAGTTCTCAGAAAGTGCCAGTATAACACTTCTTAACTTTTAGCTCAAGAAACAAGTCAATTTAAAATTAATTTCCTGTAAAAATTTTAAAGAAAATTTATAATTTTGTCTAGTGACTTACTATTATTTTAGCCGCACAATTGTTTGACAGGAAGTAGAATAAGTACTTTAAATTTATTTATCCATTCATAAATCCTTTTTTTATCAAGTGTTCATGCTTTTTCATATGTTTTTATGAAATATTTTGATACAAAATGCGATTTTTCTTATATGTGAGATTTTTCTTATAGGATTGTCCAAATAATTATGTATATGTAACACGATGCATTCATTAAGTTAATTTTGTGTCCTGAAATTCAATAAAAAAGTTATTATACTATTAATGTTATTGTTCCCACTATATGTGACTTATTTTTTTAATAGGTCTTAGATTTATGTGTGTTGGATATTGAGAGTTTAAGGTTTCCCTACAGTGTTTTATGTGCATCTGCCATTGCTCATTTCATATCAAAAGAAACGGCCATGCACGTCTCTGGTAATTTACATTTATTTTTAAAATTTTGTTTTGTATTTATCATCTCTATAATTGTAAAAATTAAACTTGTGATTGGTGCTAAGATTTTATTTTGAATCTAAGTTTCTGTTTTTTCTGCCAACTCTACTGGATTTTGCCAGTTTCTCATGGTCTACTGGTTTGATAAAAATTCTCCTGGTTTTTGCACATTTTAAAGTTCTCAAATTGAGAAAGTTTCCTTAAAAAATCTTCATTGAAATAGAATTTATTGCTTGCTTAAATATTTAAAAAAGTATTGCTAATACATGATGAAAGTGAACCTCATTTTTAGTTATCAGTTTAAAGCTGTTTTTTTATTTAAAACTTTTTTTTAATTAATTAAAGAAGTTTAAACTATCAATAGTAGATCACCTGTCTGTTACTGTTAAAAATTATGAGTTCTAATTTCAAATTCTAGTTCATTTGATATCGATCATAAACGAAAAATATGGCAGACCATTGATAAAGCTTTTATATTTTGATGACAATAAAAATTCCCAATATGTAAAATATTTGTATATTATGCAACAGTCAGCTATCATGAAATTTATATTATTTTGTTAAATCTACTGAATCTTTTTCTTCCCCAATTAATAAAAACTCAGCAAATTATGTTAATGACATATCTTGATTTCGGTGTTGTCTTTTATCCTTATTAAAATAGTCTAGAATATTGTTCTGAAAAATGTCCTGATTTTTTTTTAATCCAATTTTCCCACTACTAACTCTGTTGTTGCATGATTTGTTATTACATTCAGCTTTACTGAAGACACTTTGCTGAAAGAAAAAATGCACTTTAGAAACTACATACAATGTTTAATAAATTTGTAACTTATAAGTATAAAAAATGGAATTATTTTATGAATTTTCAACATGTCAACAGGTTTACTAATGATATTGACAATAACAAAAGTTGGTAGTTATTGTATGCTTTAATTCATTTCTCTCTATGGTTGCCATTCTTCATGCTAAAGTATCATGAAGATCACATCTAATTTTTTAATGATACAGGCATTTGAATTTTTTAAAACCAGTAACCAGAGTAACCATATAAGTTGGTTTCTCACAGCATTATTCTTAAGCATCCTCCTTTTATGCTTTATTGCCTAATTCTTTTTCTCTTAAACCGTATGCTTGCTATGATATTTCATATTGTTTAAGTTAGTTTATTGGTACTCATTAAATGTTTGGAACAATCAATTTTAAATACAAATGCCTGTCGTCATAGGTCTTTGTTGGAGTGAGCTTTTGCCATGTGTTGCATGGATGAAACCCTATGTTGAAGTAGCTGTTGAAAATCAAGTTCCTGATGTTAAACTTTTCCATGATATTCCTGCTGATGATGCTCACAATATACAGACGCACACTGCTGGGCTTAAGCTTTTAGTAAGTTTTTCCTCCTTATAGTTAAGAACTCATTCAATCAGCCTCTAAAAAAGTTTTTTTCTATTATTTTTATTGTATTTTGAGCAAGATATACGGTTTTTTATTTTATGTTGAAAATTTTTGTGTCTAACCTTTTATTTTAATTTGCTCTTTTTAAAGGTCATTTCTTAAGTGAATAAATGCAAGACTCTTGACTTGTGTCACAAAGAGTTTAGTGGTTCCAAGGCCTAACCTTAATATGTAGATTATAGTGTGAAAACAATATTTTGAGTTACAAAATCAAGCACAAAAACGTACTTTCTCTAGGGTGGGAATTCTTTTTCTCTTTCCTTTTTGACAGATTTGATCTGACAATCCGGAAGATACAGTCTCAATAATTCAGGCTCAAGGTAGGTCAAAGATTTAGACCTCTTAATTGTTAATTTCCCTTTTTAACGTATTTCACTATCCCAAAGAAGTCATATTTTACTATTTTTTTATTTCTTAGAAACCATTTGTGCAATTTTCTTTTAATTTTGTATTTTATTCATTTAAAATTACATAGAGATTAGATAGAATAAATTACATAGAGATTGGATAGAAATTTGTATAACTTGCAATTAAAAAAATGTATTGGCATTTTTTAATTGTGCAAATTTTTTTTTCCATCATTAGTTCCATAGATATACAAATAGTGAAGTTAGCATTGAGGGACCAAAACTTTCCACCTTTCTCTTGCCGAAACTACTGAGACTATCCATATTTTTAGGCTGACGAATCTATTTCCATACATTTTTGTGTCAAATTTCGTAACTTAAAATATTGCCAACATATTTATATAATGATAAAACTACCAAAAATATTCATTCTTGCATTAAAGTCACCATAATTTAAAAGTTGTCAGCTATGTAATATGAATTTATCTAATTTTTAATAAAATTGCTGAGTTTCAATTTCCTAATTATTTTAGTTAAATCTTAAAAATTTGAATGTAGACTAAACTTTTAATTTTATAAAAATTAAAATCAGGATCTTCTTAGCACCAAAGCTTTGTTGCAGAAACCTGTATTCTCAAAGAGCTGTGAAAAAGCTACAAAAACTTCAAAAAACTTTATAAAAATTCTAAATTGGCTTAGGTAAGGGTAAAAATTTTTTCGAAATTTCTAATTTTGATTCACTAAGATAAATTTTCCTTATTTAAGTATTTTCCCAATTTGCATTGTTTTAGGAATTGTCCATCATCAAAGTGTGGGAGCTGCGTATTAAGTTAACTAAGTTGTCTTAATTTCTTTGAAAGCATTTAGAACATGCAGATGTAAAAAGGATTGCATTTCAATTAACTGATCAAGTATCAACAAGTGAAAGGTTATAACTACTAAAAAGTGTTTGTCTCTTATAAGATTGACATTGAGTTATTTTATCTCCCTCAAATATTTTAATTATGGTTTAAAGCCATTAAAAAACCTTGCCGTATACGGAGTTGCAACTGTCTTTTTATTTTTGTGTAAGTATTGATACGAGTTTTTTTTTCTTCATAATTTTAAATTTTCATATAACTTTCTTTGCGTTGTGAGTTGTTGGCAGCAGCTAATGAATTTTTTAACGAGCACTGTTTAGATAAAATACAGTGTAAAATGGCTTTATTGAATTGTAAATACAGTGACTCTCAAAAATGTTATTATGACTCTCAATAAAATAGGGTGCTTTCTATTAATTTCAATTAGTATTTCTGAATGGATATTTAATAAGAAGAAATATATTCTCTTAGCAAAACTCTCCATGGAATATTTTAATAGCAAAGCAAAAGTTTTTTTTTCTTAAGAAATCAATCAAAAAGTATCTATTAGTAAATATTCTAATTTTTTTATAAATTAACATTTAGTCGAGTTTTCTTTTGTATCTATGTGAATAAATGTAACTTTTTCTTCTGGTAGGAAAGCTATTTTTTTACCTCATTATTGTTTTTAGTTAGTTTTTTGTTTTAATTTCATGTTATTATACTCTAAATTCCAGTTCTCTTCGAATATGGTTTATTGTGATTAAATATGACACTTGAGGTAGTGTGCATAATTACCTAGACTTCACAAGATTATGATAGCAATCTTGATTTTAAAAAAAGTTTTTTCCAATACCCAAATTTTGGGTTGATGATTATAAATTGTATATTTAAGTAAGGTTGATTCTTTATGCCATCAATTAGTTTCAAATTACCTTATCCTGATGCTAATATACACCAACATGCAAAAACACCATCACTGTGCTTTACTATTCCAACTAAGTTCTTGGGATACATTATTTTTTCAAGATGATATATTAAAAAAAAATAAATTTTTAAATAAAATGCTTAACAATGCTGACAATTTTCTTGTACCTATCATTCACCTCATGAGGGGGAAGGGGAAAAAAACCTGCTGACATGAAAATTTTAAGATTTCTGCCTGGAAAAATCGGGGAAATTTGAAACCTGATTTAAGTGACTACTCAGTTCTGATAATCTTTTTTTTCTTTTTTTTTCCTATTTATTTAGTTGGCAACATATTTGAATTCTATAGAATGCTTATCTTGATAAAAACCATAGCCTGTGCCCAGCCTGAAATCCTTAACCTTTTATTGAGTTCAAAAATGTAGTTTTTCTCTAATTTTAAAATGGCTTATAATTTTAATAATATGTTTAATAATTTTTTCTGTCTTTTAGGATTTAGTTCAACAGAAAAAGAGGATAGCGAAAAATGAAACAAGCCCAAGTTTAGTATTGAGAGAAATGACTCCGCCACAAAGTAGTAAGAAACCTCACTTAATGGTTATTGATGAGTAGTCTATCTACTTTTTGGATTTGTCAAAGAAATCACCTTCATGCTCTAATAAGAAAAGAAGAAAAAATTTTTAAAAAAAATCTAGTCTTGATCAGCACACTTCATGGGGAAAAGTGCAAATCTTCCGACAGAAGTTGACAATACCCCTTTTTTAACGACTTCTCTTCCATATCAAGTTTTATTGCCAAATGAATTTCAAAACTTTTTTTTTTTTTAAATATATTTGTGTTTCTTAAGAAGTAAGACGATGTGTATCACATATCTCACCACTAGTGTTCAAATTATTCTAACTTATCATTGTTTACCATTAGTGTTTAGCATTTTAACATCTTAAACGTAACTGCCAGTATACATTTTTATACCTATATGCTTAATTTTCTTTTATTTTAAAATTTTTTATATGTATATTTTTTAAAGATTGTATCATGTATCAATCTATATCTCATTACTCATTTTGCTGTTATATTTTAATATTTTCCCCTGTGTTTGGGTCCTTATTTAGATCACTTTGTTTTCCCTATGGTTGTTTTGTCAATACAGGCTTGTGGTCTTTTTACTATACTTTTGACTTAGAAGACATTAATTAGATCTTTTGTTTGGATTACTGTATAGTTTTTTGGTATGGAATTTAATCTGTTTACTTATGCTTTACATAATGGTTTTTCAGCATTGCTAAGGACAATATTGAATTTAATTTTGCTATAAACTAGTTTATTGTGTCACCAATCTGACTTATGTTACTTTTATGTACGATTATTTATTTTATATTTATAAAAATTCATTCAAATCCAATTTTTATTTATTAGATCTTGAATTAGACTTGTGAATTGTGCATTTGTGTTGTCTTAACTTATTCTTTAACTTATTGGAAATCTGACTTTACTCCAGTCTATCAATTAGCATTTTTAACAGCAATGCTTTTGTGATTGCAATTTGTCAATTGATATATATTTAGCCACAAAAATCTAAAGCCACTTTAATACTTGAATACTTATTTATATATAAATATATATATAAATGAATTAGTCCAACATTTTTTTTTTATTACTGAGCAGGAAATTGTGCTGTTGAATGTTTAATTTAAATGCATTACGAAATTTATTTTTGCTCATATTTACAAAACTTCATATAGCATAGAGAGATGAATTTCCATTCATTTAAATTGATTTTTCAACAATATATTAAGTTCTACAACAATTTAAATTAACTCTTCTTTCACATAGTTATTAAAGATTATTTATAATTTTTGTAGGGATTATGTTCTATATGATTGTCGTATCGGAATATTTTTTTTTTCTTTTCTTCCTCCCCTATTTATTTGAAATATTGAAGGTCGCTTTATTGACTATCTAGTTAGACTTGATTACTCTATATAATTGACTAATATTCGAATGAAATAATACAAACTGTGATATAAAATCAAATCTATGTAACCATTTTAAATAACAGCTAGAATTATTCGTAACAGGATTATAAATTTTGTGTAAAGTAGTGATTTTGCTAATTTCCGCATTCTGTATAAGCTGCTAATGATTTAGTCCTTTACATTCAATCTCTGTCATGTATTGATGTGCCAATATGATAAATACCAGTAATAATATACTCTCACAATCATTTGTACATTTTGTTGCATTTTTTTTTTCAGCATTGTGTAATTGTAACATATTTGTAAATATATTGTGTGAAACATTTGCAAAAATCATTGCAATCTGCATGTATTGAAGTTGTGCTAGAAGAGAATGTACTGAAAATTGTTTTTCTTGTTGACCTTTTGTAATAAAGATTTTTATAATACTTGTCTTATCTTTATTATACTTCAGTCTTAAACATTGCTGTCATTATCAATTAAGGCCGTGTTCCCCAAACTTATGACTTTTCTCTACCCTTTCGAAATTTTTCGTAATGCTGTGTACCACTCAGAAAAAAATGAATGTATTTTTTTCTATAAAAAAATTGCACAAAAGTTAAAAATTGCAACTGGCTGTTGACACCACTCTTTAACTGTTAACTCTGCAAAAAATAGCCAATAGTCATAAATACGTCATCATAAATTTTCATGGCTTGCTTTGTTTTCCTATTGATATGTTTTGAAATTTTCACAGGATATTTCGCATAAGAACGCGCACCGACGCTAAACTGCTTCCTCCCATACCCCTGGGGGTACGTGTACCACACTTTGGGAAACACTGAATTATGGTATTAATACCTGTCTACTGTTCTAGTTTGGTATGCAGAGTTACCTGCTTTACATTCCTTGATAAGTTTCTTGCTCTGGAAAATATTCCACCAAATTTTTATTTTAATTCTTATTTAATTTATGTAATAGAATTATAAATTATTCTAACATTAAATTTATGTTTAAAAATATTTTAATTAACTAAAGAAAGTTTTAAGTGTTCTAATTCAATTTAGAATGTATAAAAATATTATTTTAATTCTTCATGTAATATTGCGTAATATCTGTATTTACCTGTGAAAAATATTTTAATTTCTTTAAAAGAAGAAAGTTAAATAAAACAAATCATCAATAGGATACACCACTGTGTTCTAGAAAGCGAAGTGTTATAATAATTTAAAATGAATTAAATATCTAATTATTTTAAATCTTTTAAGAATATAATAATACAATTAGAAGGTAAAATTAAGAATGTTAACATTGCAAAAGGAAAATTTTAACATCATCTAAAAAGCTGTACTTTGACTTAACTGTATCAGATTGACTTAACAAATATTGATGAGTAATAAAAAATTCACTATATTTTTCTTATACTAAATGGAAAACTATAATTAAAAGGAAAAAAAATTTGATTACAATAGTGGGGGGAGGGGGATGTTAAAGCTTTAACATCCTAACTGAGCAATAACCAAGGTACTGCGATAAATGTTTAGGATTATAATAAAACTGAATTGAATTTTTGCATAATTAGTAGTTTTGTTACTGGAAGCAGTTTAGGACGAAATTGTATTCATAATGATTAAACAAATTCGATGATTAGATTAATTTCACTCGTCAGAATATGAATTCGGTAACTATTTTTAACAATATCTTGTTGTTTTTTTTTAATGATTTGCAGGTTTATGATTATGAGGGCTTTTTACTTTTATGCAATATGCTATTCATCTAAACATTTTTATGTAGATGTCCAAAGAGAAACTTTTCATCCTACTGATTCTAAGTGCTATATAGCATGAATGAAACATTTGTCTATTGAGAATAAGAAAATGTAAGTCTGAGATGACAAGTAACGGTTTTTCGGAGAAAGGATTGGCTGAAGTTTTTTCCGCATGCAAATGCTTTTTATTGATTATTGATGAAATTGTTTGATATGAGGATATTTAGAAATTGTGTTCACTCTTATCACAGTATTCACTTTTTCAAGCTGGGAAAACCTAAAATTTAAAACTACCACAAAGAGTTCTTTGAAACATTGGTTGGTAGTATAATGATTGCACATAACTATACTGCAAGTGTGTATTCAAATTGTTTTATGCAAAGAAATGAAGGAAAATAATAATTTATCCAGTCTTTTCATCAGGAATATTTTTATTAATAATATTAAGTATAGAGCAATTATTAGAGTTTTATTTAAATCAATTACAAAATTGAAAACATATCTATTATGTAAAGAAAATATCAAGCTTTTTATAAAATTAAAAATTTTCTACACAAAATTAGTAACAATTTCAGATGGGCAAAATTCACAATTTTTATTTCTCAAAAATGTTCCAAATTTATGAGTAAGTTCTCAAAAAGTATGAATAAATAGATACATACGTTAATTTACTAATGGAAAATAAAAATTTAAACCATGAAAGTCTTTTTTTTTTTTAATTATTCCCTTTGAATCTCAGGAATTAATAAATAAATAAAAAAAAAGAGGAATTAAATTAGTCCTCAGCTTAAATTTAATAGTACCAAATAAAAAATTTCTGAAATAAATTTAAGTTTTGAACTGATATGAAGAAGTAGCTTGACATTTTTTATTTTTAATAAATGAGGGTGAATGCTATACCAAAGAAATGTTTAAATTACCCTGAACAAAATTTGCTTGCTAACGTAGATAACAAATTTTAGGGAGTAAATAAGGCATAATTCTTAGAAAAATACTGCAAAAGATTTAAAAAGAAAAAATAGTGTTAAATGTAAATATGTATTTAAATAATGTCAGACTGAGCTCTTTATTTTAATGCAATTTCATGATTTTTAAATCAATGAATGATAAAAAAAAAAAAAAAAAACAGTTAGTAAAAATATTAAATATGTGAATTCTGTTCTTTAAAGAGAATTGCTGAAAATTAAGTTAAAAAACAAGGTTTAATGAATGATATAAAACTGTAAGCAAAGACAATTCTTCCATCAAGTTTTTGTGTGTGATGTGTGGATGTAGTTCATTTACGTCGCACTAGAGCTGCACAATGGGCTATTGGCGACGGCCTGGGAAACATCTCTGAGGATGATCCGAAGACATGCCATCACAATTTTGATCCTCTGCAGAGGGGATGGCACCCCCGCTTCAGTAGTCCGACGACCTGCACGCGAAGTCGAGCACTTTACGGTAGCACAGTTTAGCGAGGACCAATGCCGCACACCCTCGGTCCCTACGCAGACTGATCCAAGTGGGTCACCCACCCGCACACTGACCACAGCCAGTGATGCTTGATTTCGGTGATCTGCTGGGAACCGTGTCTTAATGATCAGTTCACTGTGGGACTTCAAGTTTTTAAAATAATATTTTTTGGCGAAATAAAAATTTATGGTTCTCATTTAAAATCGTGTACTAATCGTGTATTGTAAGAAATTCAATCTACAAAGCTATACCTGGTGGCTCGTTTGTTTGTCACTTTGATTTAGTTATGGTTGTTAATGTCTTACAGTGGAGTAAAGGCGACTTTCTGAGAGTTATCGGAGTGATAACCCGAATACTTGTCAAATCTTTTTAGAGGTTTGAACGCCCCCGATCCTTTCCGTCTTATGGAAAACACTATTCCTATTACTGAAATGATCAGTAATTTTAACTATTTTTTACGTTTTCGTGCTAGTTTAGTTTATAGCCCTATGTGGTTAGACTAGAGATCCGCTTGTATTTGGGAGCAGCATCATCGATTCCGGTCCTTTATTTCTATTGTCAACCCTTATTTCTACTGTCAAGCATTCTTTCGAATTTACTAAAATAGGCAGCTGAAAGCGGTTTATCAATAACCAAGTCAATATGTAAATAAATAAAAGTTTTGAAATTTACATTCATTGATGATTTAGTTTCTGTGCTCTGCTATGGTCTAGTTTTACTTGAATAGAACGTCCGTTTCATTTATTCATAAATAATGAGAAGAAAGAATAATTTTTCGTACCATTTTCAAGTTTCGTAAAATAATGAAACTTGTTATTAAGCCCCTGGAGTGGGGAGTTTTTGCTAATGAATTCACTTTAAATAGTTCATATAGTAATAAGATTATTTTATTCTCTTTCATTTTTACATTTATGTTTTACCATGTTTTCTATCTTAATTTCTTCTTATATTCGAATATGTTTTCATACTTGTGCGGTTAAAGAGCATATTTATTACAATCTTTTCATTGTCTAGTTTTTGTATTTATGAATTTGTTTGATATGTTTTATAAGTCACTTTGATTTAGTTGCAATTAAAATTGCAAGATTTTATTCTGGAGTGATTAGAAAGTTTCTTTTAATTCTTACTTATTTATATTCAATCAGAGCAGTTATGAGGGCGGGGCTTTTCTCCAGTTTGCCACTCTTGTGATAAAAAAAAAAGGCTATTTTTATAATAATCATAAAAAGTTCTTTTAAAAAAAATTTTTTTTTTTACCCTTAACAGCAACTTATCCAATCGCAGACCAAAGGAAATTTTATACATTTTAACCCTATATAAACTTATAAGAATTTAAATTTTTATATTGAAAATTTTAAAATTTTGAGTTCTATATATTTCAGATATTTAGATCAGTGGTCCCAAAATTTATTCCGAGGACCCCATGGTTTCTGTGGAAGGGTCATATTAGTTCCAAAGATTATGACTTATTTTAACCAGTTATGACTTTTGCAACCTGTAATTATACCTAATCTATAATTCTTTATTTATTTAATATTATGTTTTAAAAAAATTATTTAAATAAAAAGCGTGTGGGAAAAATGGCAAAATTAAAAAATATATCTAGTTATTCTAATATCATTGAAAAAATTAGGAAAAAAGGTACGCAGTTACAAAAAGTTAAATTAATATTTCTCATGGAACATCTCAATTCAAAGTAGGTACTAAATTCTTCAATGAAAAAATATGTTTTCCTGATAAACGTTCGCAATATTTATGATAGTTCTTTTGGCCTTTCATTAAAAAAAAAAAAACATACTTAAGTATGTTTAATTCATTTCCAGTTTAGCTTATACATGAGAAAACTGATTCAGAAATATAATTAAGGCTGCTCCAGCCTTGTAAATTTGATTGCCATAAGTAATATCTAATTTTAGAACTATTTGTAATAAAAGGATGATAAAGCTTCAAATTAAATATTTTCAAAATAATAATAATATTTTCAAAATATAATAATAATTTAAAAATATTTTCAGTAGTCCATTTAGAATAGTTAGTAGTATATTTGAATAATATATTCAGAATTGTTAATGAAGTTTAAGTTGTGGTTCCACTAATAGAATGCTAATCATTTAGAGTTCCATAACTGATAGAAATTGGGAACTACTGATCTAGATTGATATTAAGCTATTCATGGCTCCTGAAGGCTGTGCATTTTGCTATTCATAAAAATGAAAATCATGAAGTTAACTAATATGATTTGAAAATCTTTAGTCTTATTTAAGTGAGTTGTTGTGTTTAGAACTGATTTTTATTATTCATTATGTTGTTTATAGCTTTGTGTGTCTTATTAGTGTTTTGTTATTGTGAGTTATGATTATTGCAATGGGGAAAATGCTTAGTTAGTTCTAAAGGTACTTCTCCATTTTGCCAGCATAAACGATAAAGTTGCCAATATAAAGTCACCGGGCTCAACTAAATTCATCTGTCTTTTTATTTTTTAGGTTATGATTATTTTATTAAAAAATGAAAATAAATCAACAGATGTGTAAAATAGCTGGAAAAGTACAATTATGGAAAAATTTTATCTTTCTGGGGAATAAAAATCTTCTTTTAATAAAGGTTTTTAAATTACAAATTATTATTCAAATAAAAAGAAATTAAAAAATAAGTACTGAAACTATTATTGTGAAAGTCTGGATTAATAACGTACTTAAACCTAAATCATCTTTTCTAAAGATCCCACACATGATATGTTATTGATAAAAAATAAATTTAAAATTGAAAAATAATAATGATAGCCAAAAAGATGCTTAAAATTATTGTTCTTAGGAATGAAACAAAAATAAATCATATAATTCTTTAATAAATTGGAAAGTTAGGAGCACAAATCAGGCAGAAAACGAAGAATTTTAAGAATATGTATGCTAGCGAAACGGCACTTCATCAGGGGATGCACTGTCTGCCAACATACCTTTCTGTCATAAGGGTAATACCAAAAACTGACTGTGCCCCAAGGCCCCAAAATTTATAAACAAAAGAAGAGCAAGCAATTAAAAAATCAAAAATTGAAATAAAAAAATTATGAAATACAAACACAATTCAAAAGTGCGCAGAGTAAGACCTAATGATGAAACGCCCATTTATATCCTCATATAATTCTTTTTAATGTTTTACTTGCTGATCCTTTACCATTTAGCTTCAGCTAGATCTTTTGACCAATTTTCAAAAATTACGAGAAAAATTACAAGTAATTTGTTCTTCTTAATGCCTTCTAAATGATCTTAAAATTAAAAAATTTAGCCACAGCTCTGAGCTCTGATAAAAGTTCTAAATCAAATTAAAGAGAATTCAGCATAATAGCCCAATGATGGAGAAGACATCTATTTTCCATTGAAAATATTTTTTTTAAAAATTCTTTAAAAGGGCTACTGAAAAGGGTACCTTCAAAAGTTTATAATTATGTATTACTTTAAATTTAATTTATCATAAATTTTTATAATGTACTTCTTCCTATTTTTTTTAGTACTGATTGTTGGATCTACAGTTGGTATGGTGAATACATTTTTTCCTAGGTGGCAAATTGCCATTTATTCCTTGTATCCTTCATTGTGTTGTGAAAATAGATTTTGTTCTTTATGTATATTTATATTATTCATCATTCTTTATTTTTGTTTCTGTATAAAAAGAAAACACTTGATAAATTTTAATCTAATGATCAGATTTCTAATTAAAAATCAAAACATGATCAAATGATCTGACCTTAAATGTGCTAATCAATTTGTGCAGATTTTCTTTTTTTTTTAACGAATTTATATTCTTGATCCTTAAACTGCAAGTTTTTGGTGCAACAAAAAACTCTACATTCAGCTAGCTCTTAAAATATAAAATGAATGGAAAATAAACCTATATTTAGTATCAAAATGTTTAATAATGTAATCATGACGTAATTTTATGCATTTGTGTTTTATGCATCATAAAATTCTACGTTCAATGAACGATATAAAAAGTAATTAAGAAGGATCACCTTTTATTCAACAGTAAAACATTTTTCCTAAAATTTAAAAAATAGGATTAAAGTTTTGGCTTAGCATGTAATGTAAAATTTTAAACTGCAGCTGCTTTGATTATTTTAAGAAAACAGGTTGTGACATTTTCTTTTCAATATGAAATGAAACTTTTCATTCTATTTTTTATTTATGTATTTTATTTAACTATTATTTATGTATTATATAATTTTAATTAATATGATTTAAAAGAAATTTATTTAACCACTAACTTCAGTAGTTCTAAACTTTTTAGGATTGCAGTGCCTTTCTTAATTATGAGTTTTTGTGGTTCCCCAACTTAGTAATGCTATTACTGATCATAAATAGGAAATAAAAACTAATTGAGCTCCGTCAACTGTTATTTGATAAATTTGTTAATTTATTTGTTATTAAATTTATCATCTTTGATGCGGATGCACACTTTTACTGGAATGCTGGCTTACAGCATTTGTAATATATATCCAGACCTATCTCATGCAGATACCTTAACCTCTTTTAGATTTTTCAGCATTTTTATATTTATTTTAGAATACCCTCGAATGTATAGAAAAGATTTATTTGCTGCTGAAAGAATGTAAGTATGCGCCACATTTAAGAATGATTGTAATTGTAAAACGCTTAAATTAAAAACAGAGCAAGGAAAAAAATCAGAAATATATTTAAATTGTATTAGATATACAAAGCTTAATGTTGCATTGGAGCATTATCTTCAGTGCAAAGTATAATACTGAGAAAAAACATTATACAAGATTAAAAATAAATAAACTTCATTAGGAATTAATGAATCTGGACTAACCTTTTAGCATCAAGCTACCTTCTCAATTAAATAGTTTCATATATCATATACTATTCATATATCATATACTATTCATATATCATCATATATTATTTTCATATATCATCATATATTATTTTGAAAGTAAATTAAATAAACGCAATTTGAGGGGGGAAATGTGCTATTTGCTGCATTGTTAATCAAATAGCAATACATTTTGAAAAGCAAAACATTGCGTTCAAATTGTTCTAAATTTTGTTACAAGATTATTATGGTGGCAACCTGCTAAGGAAAAACACAATGTCTAGTTTTTGTCAATTGTTGAGTCAGTTCACGCCATGCATGCCACATTTTTGTGGGGGTTGGAAATAAAATATGTTTAAATAGTTCTCGAAAGTTTAAAGAATTTCTTCCATTTACTTAACATTGAAAAAGTGATACATTTTTATTTAATTTCTTATTTTGTTTATAACTTAGAATTTTCATAAATTTTTTTTCTTCATTTGTCTGAAATATTTTAGGGACTTTTTGAGATTTCTAATTATTGAGGGGACAATTACCAACTGTACTCCACGCCAGTGATACCATATAGTTCACATTAAATTTTGCTTAATTAATTAAATTAATTTATTAAAATTCTGTTTCATCATTTTTGATTTTTTTTCATTTAGTGATTGTGATTATGATCGTGTTTTTGTTTTTTATGCTTAAAATGGGTTTGTTATTCAGCATTTATGTTTAGATCGGCATCTTTTATAATTATTTATAAACTGTTTATCTAAATAAGACAAAATAGTTTACCACTATTAATTGTTTAAATTCTTTCTTGGTTCTTTTTAGGTATCAAGGCTATCTTGAACACTTCATAATTAAGCTGGGCATTTATGGCAGAAGCTATTATGTTAGATTTTATCTGTACCTTTGGTGAGAAATTTATTTACATAGTATGTCAATTAATTTGCACATGATAGTAAATTAATGTAAAATAGTGACCTGGCTTTTTCATGATCATTCTACATGTGCTTTATTACTATAAAAATTATTAGAATTACTTCACTGGTAGCCTTATTACTAGAGAACTTCTAGATCTAATACAGTATTATGGGCCATTCGAATATTTTGCAAGCACTTGAGGCGCCTGCCATCAGCTTATTTTTTTTATAAGGAAGGATAGGAATGAGACTTAATACACTTACTTTCTGTTAGCAGGGTTGGGGTTTTGGATATCCTAAACTGGTTTTGGACAGGACACATGGGTTTTACTGTAATAAATTTACTAAAACTGTCTTAAAGTGTCCAAAACCTCGAACATTGGTAAAAGGTAAAAATTTTATATATGTAACCATTGTACACATAATAATTACATAAATTATTAAATATTTGATACTTTTTATACAATTTACCTTTAATTATTTTTTTATATTTATTATACAATTTTAATTATTAAAGGAAAATAATGTAATATAATAGGAAAAGATTAATAAATTTTGAAGATGTACAATTCATGGAATAACAAAAGTGAATACCATATCCTTTAAATATGATTTTAATATTGATAAATTATATTTTTGCGAAATAATTCAATATTAAAAATAATAATAAACTTTTTTAATGAAGCAAAAACTTTTCTTCATTTTGCTTCTTGTTCAAAAATTAACCTTTTACTTTTCATATTTTTTTTTGAAAATTGCGACATAATTCGAACAAAAAGGTCTTGGACAAATTGAACAAAGGGGTTTTGGACAGGACGGTTTAAACCGTTGATTAATCCATTCTGTCCTAAACCTTGCCAACTTTGGTTACATGTAATAATCATCAAGTTTTATGAGGGGAAATCTTTTACAAATAGAAAGGAAAGGCGATTCAAAATCATCTAAAACGTGCTAAGCAAAAGTTTATTTCGAAGTTTGATTATAAATTATAATAATTTTCTTGAAAAAATAAACTTAAATACTTCATATAGTAATAAAAAAAATTAGCAGCTTTAACTCAAAGTATTGCAAAGATAATGAAAAAAATGTTAGCATTAAATTAGTTTAAAACTTGTTACCAGATTGAACTCAAAATTTTTGCATCAATCTTTTGTAAATGAACAGGAGGTTTAAGATAAGTATTAAATTTTTAGTTACTAGTGCCAATTTTTATAGAACTGGTTAACCTACATTTGTATAAATAGTTGACTAACCAATTTGCGTGTGGATGGCTAACGCACACATTGTGAAATAATTAGAAAATGGGTTAAATTATGTCACGTGTGTTGCAATTTTTGATGCACTGTGGTTACATTAAACCTATCATTGTTAAACGTAACCTTACATTGAAAGCAAAATACACTATGCAATACATGGTGAATTTTTCTAGAAAACCAGTTGCGTGATTCTTTTACATGTTTTATTACCCAATACACTATGCACTATGTATAGGGCTGCAGGTCTGTCGCGGCGCTAATTTCCGCAATGATTTTCGCGAAATCGTGATCTTTTTTCCTAAAATCCGCGAATTTCTCAATATATCTTGACTTTCGCGAAAATTGCTTAAAATTTGATTTGTTTTTTATATATTATTTTTATTAAACAGAATTTTTTATTTTCCTGAACCTTAAATTGAACATGTAATATTGATTAGACATTTAGGGGAGTGAATCAATAGCAAAATGACATGAAAATAGTTCAGAGATAAGAGATAATCACAATCTTGTCAACTAAGGTGGTCTTTCTACACTTATGGAGGGTAATTACCTTCCTGAAGTCAGTAAGAGTACAAAAGAAATTTTAATCACAAAAGAAGGAAAATGTTGTAAATCAAATCTTTGACAGAAAAATTGTTATAGATGCTATTGCACTGGGCAATGAAATTTCTACTGCCTTTCTACGTATCCAGTTAGTTTTTCCTAGGCGGCTTCTTGTGATTTCTTAAATATGAACCAGTTTCTTAGATGAAGGGGGGTGGGACTAGTAGTTAGTAGGGACTTATAACTAGTAGTTTGAATGCAGAATGTTTGAGTTTTCACAGCAATTACTTCTTACAAAGCAACGGTCAAGGAATTCCGCGTTGGTGAAGGAAAATTGATCGAGTTTTGAAAATCTAAGACCGAACGCTCCAAAATTGGCAATTTGAAGTTTGTCTGTGCCTAAAAACAGCACTGACGCAGAAAGATCGTTTTCTAAGTATAAAAATGTATTAAGTGATGAAAGACGAAGCATAAATGAGAATAATCTGACAACGTACAATACTTTGTACAAAAATTCTGTTC